CCATGCTTTGCTGTGTTGGATTTCCACCAGACATACCGTTTTAGTGTTGAGGCCAAACAAATCAATTTTAGTCTCATCTGACCATAACACCTTTTTAAGGTGTGTTTTGTGACTGCATGCGGCCTTTCTGAGTGTGTAGTTTTTTTTTTCTTTTTTTTTTTTTTTCCTTGCAATTCTCCCATACAAGCCACATTTGTGGAGAATTTGTGATATTGTTGTCACATGCACACATGACAACTCTTGGTCAAAAATTCCTGCAGCTGCTTCAGAGTTGCTGTAGGCCTCTTGGTAGCCTCTCTGACCAGTTTCCTCCTGACTTTCTTTTACAAAGAATTTTATTATAGAATAGGAAACAGCAGAGAATCAGTCAAGAACACATGCAATGACCAGCAGGAATATAACATACAAAAGATTCGATGGATAATACAGAATATGTACTGATGAGAAAACATGAAAATAAACTGCGTACATAAGTGCCGTACAGAAAGAAAAGGCACTAAATTTCAAAAATGATAGACATTTAGAGACTAATAACAAACTCTCAGGAAAAATTGTTGCAGAATCAACATACAGAATGCAAGATGAATAGGAGACAGAGCCTCTCTGAGTACAGAGAGGTACTTAACACGCAGGGCTCTCAAAGGAGTCCAGCACATTGATGCAGTGTTGCTGGTACGGGGCTCAAAACAGGAATCACAATCAGCACAAATAGCCTGAAGAAGACAGACTAGACAAGAGGAAAGAAAGGAGCGAAGAGAAAGGAGACAAACAGGCACAAAAAAAGGGGGGGGGGGGGGGCTCCAGGGGGACCACAGCGGAGAAAAGAAAAAAAAATCTAAAAATAAGCTGGTATATAAGTGTTTGTTGTTGTGTGTTTTTTTTTTTTTGTTTTTTTAATATCGACAAGAGGGACTGGTCAAATCTGGATGGTTGAGCTATATCAAGTCAAGGACGCCATGTCCGTAAAAAAATTTGTATGGGTGTCTAACAGTATAGCTGTCAACTTTTCGTTGACCATTATAAAGTTCATCCAGTTTTTGACAGCCTCGAAGCTGAGGAGGGGAGTCTTCCAAGCCCTCGCAATTGTCACATTGGTGGCCATGAACAAGTGCGATGCCAACCGCCGTTTGGGATGAAGTATGCCCAATAATGGTTTAAATAACATTGCTTCGTACGGGTTGTGTTTAATGTCTGTGTGGAACATAGTGCGGAGAAGGGCGTAAACTCTGATCCACAATCTGCACACCTTGGGGCAAGTCCACCAAATATGGACCATGGTACCCGTCCGCTGACAACCTCGAAAGCAAGTCGGGGAATATGTGGGAATAAAACGAGCCAGACGAGCAGGCGTGTAATACCATCTATAAAGAACCTTGTATGTGTTTTCTAGAATAACATTCCTAGAACATTTGGATAATTGTTGGGGCATGCCTCCTGACTCTTTCATCCAGTTTGGAGCAACATCCTGATCCAGGGAGGGTCTGTGTTGTACCAAATACCTTCCACTTCTTAAAGCGGAGTTTACTACCCAAAATCCTATCTGTAAGTATCGGCTTCCCCGTACGAGGAAGCAGATACACTGACAGGTGTGCAGGAGTCCTGCATGGCATCAGGCCCAGTGGGTGCAATGCTTTAAATGTGCATTTTATCTCTTGTTGAAAGGTGAACTTATCCCCCCCCCCCAGATGGACTGTAGTATGTTTTCAGCACAAAGCACTAAAAGATGTTGACTTAGGGAAGCGGGGCGCTTCCTATTACACATGCATGAGTCGCGCTGCACTTTGTGAATGGTCCCATAGACTTCTGGCACCTGTGACATGTCCCAAAGGTCTGTGAATGGGAAGGGGGCAAAAGAACTTCTGGGGGATCCGCTGCAGTGAACGACCAGATGCACCTGTCAAATCCAGGTACCTGTAACCCCCCCCCCCCCCCAAAAAAAAAAAAAAAGTGGCAACAATAGAAGGGGAGGGGCATAAAGCAGAACTTTCCTTTTTTTTTTTTTTTTTTTTGTTTTAGGATGAAGCTCTCTTTAAAACACTGCGTCCTGTAGCGCCAGCAAAAAAACAATGCAGACACAAAAACTGACCATGGGGATAGATGTGCTTCCAGTAAGATGTAAAGGGGACTGGCAGGATCACCAGGAATTTCACACAAAGAGAACAGGCTACTTTTTCATACAAATACATGGTAACAGACACATATCAGGAATATGAAATGTTGAAGTAACCTATTTTAAAGTATAACTAAAGGCAAATCCTTTTTGCCTAACTAAAGGCAGTTTTTTTTTTTTTTTTTATCATTTTTAAATACACCTATGATAACATTCTAAACCCTTAATTTTTTTTGTAAGTGGGCAAACTTACAAAATCTGCAGGGGATCAAATGTTCCCCACTGTAGTTACTTTAAAAGCTCATTTACTCTGTATACATATTTGAATGCCCATAGTCTGATCACAGGCTAAGTTCACATTTTCAAAGAAAATAATGCAAATTTCTTGTAGGTTAAAAAAATGTGCATTTATTATGGAACCCATAGAGTATTGCACCCAGTATCAGCAGATTGCTGGTGCAATGTCAGGCTCCTGCAGACCCAGGATGGCTGTCGAGGGCAGGTAGTTACCTGAGAACAGGTAGATCATTCACCAGCACACTAGCAGTTCATTCATAACTACATGCCAGCGCCAGACCCCCCCCCCCCCCCCCCCCCCAGAGCCTGACAGTGACCATCAACACCCTACCCCCACCCGATAGAGCCCTGAGAATGACGGTCGGGCTCTGCATACACCATCAAGCAGCCCCTCTCAGATCCCACCTAGACCCCATGCTGCATATATTCCTTCTTCTGGGGGAAAGTGCTGCCCCCCCCTAAAAAAAAAAAAAAAAAAAAAAAAAAAAAATGCCGCCCTAGGCAAATGCCTTGTTTGCCTTGTGGTAAATACGCCCCTGCCCCTGCACAGCCACACTATTTTCAAATTGTGATTGCAGATGTGAGTAGAGGATCCAGGGAATGCTGCAGATGCTGGAACTACTATAAATGGGTGTAACATGTTCCAAAAGTGATGTTTTTTTTTTTTTTTTTATCCTTTAAAGCAGTGGTCTCCAAATTGTGGCTCGGGGGGCTGGATACTTGCTTTTATCTGTCTCTTGGGGCAATATTTCATCCTCTGACACCAACAATGAGGCATAATTCCCCTCCCAATGACATTATTGATGGGACACACTTGCTCCCAATGACATCAGTAATGGGACATGATTCTTCCCACCCAATAACACAAACAAGGGGGCTCAATTCCTCTGACATCAAGGTTGTTGGACATAAGCTATGAAGGGCAGTTTACTGTCTTTCAGCCTTTTTAAGGGGGATGGCTACAGGCCGGCTCCTCTAAAGTCTAGGTTACAACAACCGCTTCCCTGCACTGCCCTGCATTTTTGTTAATTTTCCGTTATATCTACAGCTTGCTCATCAGATCCAATGTTCCGTGAGCTGTAAATCTGAATTTTTTTTTCAGGGGTTCCTTTTGAGATCTCAAACTTTTTGCCAAGATTTCCTCCAAGGTAAAAAGGACATTAAACTGGCCCTTTTTTTTAGAAAGCTTGGAAACTCCTGCTTTGAGGGTGACTACAGTCATCAAGATATATATGATTTGAAGAATTGTAGTTTAATGGGTAGATTAACTCCTACACCATGTCTGATCAGGTATGGCAGCTAGGGTCTGATCTATTTCTTCATGCTACAGGTCAAGTAATGTGCATCACTTAGCAGAATGTATTCTCTCAGAGATCACAATATTCCCCTTAATGTCACCTGCAGAGAGAGGTAATCTCTGAATGAGTGTTGCATATTACTGTATTCTTTGCTCCATAAGACTCACTTTTTTTTCCCCTCAAAAAAATGGGGGGGGGAAATGTCTGTGCGTCATATGGAGCGGCTGGCCTGGTATTCCCGCCGCTGCCGTATTAGAGTACTGGGCCGGCCGCTCGGCTCTACTGTGAAGAACCCGCTCCTCTATCTTACCTGTTCCTCGGTCCAGCAGTGTTCTGCTTCCATCGGCCGTCTTCTCTCCTGGGTTCTGGCATCTTCAGTGTGGGCACCCGGCTTCACAGCTGGGTGCCCACTGCGCATGCGCGAGAAGCGCTGTGCTTTGTGAATGTGCCCCGTTGTCTTGTGGGACCTATCACGTTTCCCACAAGACGAGGGGGAGTGGATACCTTTCAAATTCGAGTCTGGGCCCTAAAGTGTGTGTGTGTGTGTGTGTGTGTGTGTGTGTGTTGAAAGGACAAAAGGGGGAAAAATGGTTCCAGCAGTGAAAAGTTACTGTCTTGGCCTGTATGCCTTCTCTTAGTGTTGGTAAGCCCACAACCGTAAAATCAATCTGTATATGCAGTAAAGCATGCTTGTAATACTCACTAGATCTTAAGAGGGTTAATTTTCTGCATTGTGTAAAAAGTATGTTTTTTTGATTCTGTCTTCTCTGATCCTGCCCTTCTACTGTCCCCAGTCCATTTGCTGATAGAACACAACCTTTGGGGGCAAGCTGCACATGCTCAGTTTGGTGTGTATTGCTAGAGTGTTTTTAGCAGTTTATATTTACTAAAATAATTGAATGCAGGGTCCTGGGTTTAGTAATACTTTAATATATACTGTATGTATATGTGTGTAGAATGTTTCTGTATGTATATGTGTAGAATTTTTCTACAACATATTGCTTTACCTTTTTTCCTTTTATACTTTTTAATGTAATGTGCATGATAGTCAAAATACTAATGTGTAATGTTAAAGGGGCGTTTGTGTGACTTATTTTGGGTTTTCGCCTCAACACATGCCTAGAATGTCACTTCTGTCAATTACTATATATTATGCTCCTGAAACCACTCCAGTATGTAATCAGTCAATGTATTTTTGCATTATTCTTGCTTGAAATGGGGAGGACATAGTCTTCATTATTATTGCAGAACAGAAATATACCTGATTTTAACTTTTTTATTTGGTTTTCTTTGTAGGTTACTGTTCCTGGGAAATAGATTCATCTGTTTGTAATTTGGATGATCAGTTGAAATTATTTGTATCTCGCCATTCAGCAAATTTTTCCCAAGATGTGAAAGGTATGGTAATCCTGATTTTATATTGTCTGTTTAATACAATGTGACTCGTAATATTAAACAGTTCATTTCCTGTGTTCTTGTTATACCGCCAATATGAATTTTATGTTCCTAATGCTGAACTCCAGTCACAAAAACATACATTCACTTTGTGTGCACGAAGTGCTTTTGCAAACAAGATATTGCTGTGTAATAAAACTGATAGAGTAAAGGAGAGTTATAATCCTTGTCCGATAAATATATATAATATTTTTTTTTTTTTTTTTTTTTTTAATCCATCTGTGTCCCATTGTGGAGATTTCACTTACTGTCCCATAGCCAAACAGGAAGTGAGAGGAAATCCCTGCAAATTAAGGGAATTCTTTGGGGACTCCCAGGTTATCAGAACTGGTGCCCCTTTGTAAAAATGTTTTTTTTCCTTCTATTATCTGGGGACAACCCAAAATTTTGGGTTTTTCTTTCCTTTACTTTAATTGATTAATGGTAAACAGAACAAAGCGGATAAATCTCCCTAACAGTGGCACAGAATGCAATAATAACTGACAGGTGTTCTAATCCCTCTGCCCTTGGGACACTATACCTCCCACTGATGCAAGACATTATTTCTCCCACTGAAATTGAGATAATTGATTATGAGTAAGGCTGGACTTTATCTCATGGCTTTCTACAGTATGTACAGTGTTGGCCTGGCATAGACTGTACCTTCATCCCACAGCTAATAAAAATTGAGGGTTTGAAGCTTTTCTTTCTGGATTTTCTCCCACTGACACCGAAAATGGGGAATAATTCGTACCACTGACACCAAAATGGGTCATAATTCAACTCACTCACACCAAAAATGGGGCACTGTTTTTGATCTCACGGACGCCAGGAAAATTTCAACCCCACTGAACCCCCCCCAAAGTCTGAAGGACCGTAAACTGACCCTTTTGGAGACCCCCTGGTCTAGAAAGCTAATGTGCAAGCTCCCAAGTGATGAGCACTATTGTATAATGACATTGTAATGGGAATGCAATCTCCCTGCTTCTGGAAATCATTTTGTTTTTGTTGTAGCTTTAAAATGCAAGAAAAAAAATGCTGCATGTTGGGAATCAGTGTGAGTTGTTTTGGAAGCTGAAATTGCTTTTTCACACTAACTATTGCTTGATAATCATGTCATGTGGGATATGTTCTATGCATAAAGTATGCACAGTACAGTCTGTGAGATGACTATCTCGGAAAACAAACACCGGTTTAGGATCAATTCACTCTTTTGAAAAGTGCTTCGACCTATTTTGGTAGAGCAAAAATGAATACACACTGTACCCAAAAAAGAGGTAGCGCTACAGAGAGATGTGACTGTTATCCATAACAACCAATTGCATTCCAATGTTCATTATTCCTGGCTGGGCAGAGCAGAAAGTGTCTTCTCATTGATTGCTGTAGTGTACTGTGCATTCTGCTTTAACGTTTTTGTAGGAGGGCGGGGCCTCACACTTTTGTGTGCATGTGGACTTGTGGTACAACAACGCTTTCTGTTGCCCTAGGTTTTCAGTGGCACCCCCAACAATGGGGGGAAAAAAAACCATGCCGGCTGCTCAGAATATTGCAACACGTGGTAAAATGGAATTAAAAATGTTAAATGGTTTGTTTCAACTGCCACTGGCATACTTCCTTTAGACTCCATCTGCCTGGACAGTATGGTCACCTGCTGACTTGGCACCATCCACAGGCAGCTTAGCACTTTAAGAAGAAACAGAAGTTGAATCCAATACGTTTTCACTTCCGTTAATCTTAGTACACAAGTTATTTTTTCAGCCTTTTGAAGTGTAAGAAGACCATGACTGTCCTAAACCCTGTCTCTGTGAAGCACTAACATTGGCTAAGTGAACATGGGAGAAATGGGCAGTGTATAGCCAGGACTGAACTAAATAGTACTAAAGAAAAGGGGGCAAGGGGAGAAACCAAAATCATAGTAGACAAGTTGTAGGCAGGGACGGAATGACCATTTGGAAACTCGGGCAGTGCCCGAGGGCCCAGGGTCAGTAGGGGGCCCCATGAGATGCCCCTGGTATAAATTTTTTTTTTTTTTTTTTTTTTTTTTAGGCTTTTTAGAGTTTGGGCAAGGACACAGGGGCCCCATGATCCCCTATTGCCCGGGGCCCCATGAGTTGTCAGTCCACCCCTGGTTGTAGGTTTATTTTTTTTTTTTTTCCAAACCTTACATAACTAATTGCAATGCACAGTGTCGGATGCAGTGGTGTAAAGCATGCCGCCAGTGGACTCTAGAGAAGTGGAGACATGTTCCTTGGAGTGACGGATCACGCTTCTCTGGCAATGTCTGGGTTTAGCTCCCTCTCCTAAATGCTGTTATGTTTTGTCTCATCTGCTAGATCAGTGGTTCTCAACCTTTCTAATGCCGTGACCCCTTAATACAGTTCCTCATGTTGTGGTGACCCCCAACCATAAAATTATTTTCGCTGCTACTTCATAACTGTAATTTTGCAGTGGGAGGACTAGCGCCCTATCACTGATGTCCGTGGGATGAATAGTGCCCCATCGTTTGTGTCAGTGGGAGGAATAGTGTCCCATCGTTGGTGTCAGTGGGAGGAATAGTGCCCCATCATTGGTATCAGTGGGAGGAATAGTGCCCCATCGTTGGTGTCAGTGGGAGGAATAGTGCCCCATCGTTGGTGTCAGTGGGAGGAATAGTGCCCCATCGTGGGTGTCAGTGGGAGGAATAGTGCCCCATCGTGGGTGTCAGTGGGAGGAATAGTGCCCCATCGTGGGTGTCAGTGGGAGGAATAGTGCCCCATCGTGGGTGTCAGTGGGAGGAATAGTGCCCCATCGTGGGTGTCAGTGGGAGGAATAGTGCCCCATCGTGGGTGTCAGTGGGAGGAATAGTGCCCCATCGTGGGTGTCAGTGGGAGGAATAGTGCCCCATCGTGGGTGTCAGTGGGAGGAATAGTGCCCCATCGTGGGTGTCAGTGGAGGAATAGTGCCCCATCGTGGGTGTCAGTGGGAGGAATAGTGCCCCATCGTGGGTGTCAGTGGGAGGATAGTGCCCCATCGTGGGTGTCAGTGGGAGGAATAGTGCCCCATCGTGGGTGTCAGTGGGAGGAATAGTGCCCCATCGTGGGTGTCAGTGGGGGGAGGAATAGTGCCCCATCGTGGGTGTCAGGTGGGGGGAGGAATAGTGCCCCATCGTGGGGGGAGGAATAGTGCCCCATCGTGGGGGGAGGAATAGTGCCCCATCGTGGGTGTCGGTGGGGGGAGGAATAGTGCCCCATCGTGGGGGGAGGAATAGTGCCCCATCGTGGGGGGAGGAATAGTGCCCCATCGTGGGGGGAGGAATAGTGCCCCATCGTGGGTGTCGGTGGGGGGAGGAATAGTGCCCCATCGTGGGTGGTGGTGGGGGGAGGAATAGTGCCCCATCGTGGGTGTCGGTGGGGGGAGGGAATTAGTGCCCCATCGTGGGTGTCGGTGGGGGGAGGAATCCCTGCCCCATCGTGGGTGTCGGTGGGGGGAGGAATAGTGCCCCATCGTGGGTGTCGGTGGGGGGAGGAATAGTGCCCCATCGTGGGTGTCGGTGGGGGGAGGAATAGTGCCCCATCGTGGGTCGGTGGGGGGAGGAATAGTGCCCCATCGTTGGTATTAGTGACACAAATGATGGGGCACTATCCCTTCCACTGACACCAATGATACTTACCTTGCTGACCCCGGCTCCAGCCTGGGCTCGCTCTCTCCCTCTCCCATCTACAGCCTGCATACCTGGCTGCAGAAGCAAAATTTGCACTTACCTGTCAGCTGTCTTCCTTCTCTGGCCTCTCTCTTCACTCGCTCCTGCAGCTCCCTCGATCTTCGATCTCCGCGCACTGCCGCTCGGCTCCTCGGCGGCAAGAGGAGGCGGAGCTGTTGAGTGATCCCGGAGGTGTGGCCAGGTTACAGGGGCAGCATATCATCCCGCCCACAGATCGCCTGAGACAGGAGCGGTGTCTCGGTGCCTAAGACCTCTTAGGCGACCCCTGTGAAATGGTCGTTCGACCCCCAGGTTGAGAACCGCTGTGCTAGATCATGGAATTCAGTGTTTGCCGGTTTTTCTACCTGCTACATTGTGATGTGTACTTATACAAGGTCAAACAAGGCACTGTTGTGTGTCTTAGGACAGGTGAAGTTAGTATCTGGCAAAACGTATTTAGTTCTTATTTCAGCTGCTCCACAGCTGATGATTGTAAGAATGTCACTCTCTGCTTCTTCCTTGACCAGTTGCTGATGAGAAATGCCAAATGTGTATATGGCTTTGAATACTTTCTTGGAGGAGTTGGTCTTGTTGGAGAGATGGCATTGCTCCAGTGCATATGGAAGTAAATGGAATTTCAGTTGTTTTTATATGCAAGATGGACTATGCTGTACAGCAGTACATAATCGAGATTACGAGGACTCCAGTGAGGAGTAACTCCATATAAAAGTAGGAGTTTAAAAAATAGTATTTTCATACAGGCTAGAGAATTCAAATATTAAATTTCTGTAGAGTGTACATAATGGCATGAAATATGTCCGATATTGAGCAGGTCACATTACAAGTCTTCCACCGAATTCTTTGCCTATGGGTGATAGATGGAGTCAGCTTATATGGTAAAATTCTGCCCTTTTTTAGATACAGGAATTCTTATTTAAAGATCTCTAGCCAGTGCCTCCTTGCAACTCAAGTTTATAATATTATTATATACAGGATTTATATAGCGCTCACAGTTTGCTCAGCGCTTTACAATATAACGGGAGACAATACAGCTCGATACAAGAGGGTTAGGAGGGCCCTGTTCCTTGGAGCTTACAATCTAGGATGTAGGGGCTAGTGGTACAAAAGGTAGTAACTGTGGGGGATGGACTGGTAGGAAGAGTAGAAGATTCCATTATTGGCTGATGGCAGGATAGGCTTCCCTGAAGAGAGAGGTTTTCAGAGATCGCCTAAAAGTGAGCAGAGTAGGAGATAGTCTGATAAATTGGGATAGAGAATTCCAGAGGTTGGGTGAAGCTCTGGAGAAGTCCTGGAGACAAGGAAGCTGGAGAGTACGGTTTGGGTGATATTTGGAGACGAGATTGGTGATGTAAATTGGGGAAGAGTTATAAATGGCTTTATATGTTAATGTTTTGAACTTTTATCTGTTGGGCAACGGGAAGCCAGTGGAGGGATTGGCGGAGAGGGGTGGATGATACAGAACGTTGTCATCCCCTTCCCCAAGCTGGCTACTGTATATTGTGGGATTCCCCCCAAATATAAAATACTCAAACCATCTTCTTCCTGAACTTGTGGTCACATGACACGCTAGATCCCAACCCTTCTGCTTTCTGTAGGTTTGGAGGTTTTCTTTTAGTGTCTATGCTGCCTTTTGTAATATGGATACTTCCTGTTGGCAGTCCGGTTAGAGGGCCCACTTAGGTTCCACAAAACTGCAGCAGTGTGATGACATGAGGGGAATCGACGAGGTTTGTCAGTACTGCATACTGTTCACTAATAGATCTGGGCCCCAGATGAAGTGGGCTTTCTCACATGAGGCCACAACTTCCATAAGTATATCTGTAGTGAGAGATCTGTTTGCTGCCGTTGCTTGTCTGCCTCTAAATGCTAGCTAGCTGGCTTGCTTTAGACTTCAGGTTACAAATGTGAAACAAGTTTGCAGCAAACAGAAGTTTGCGAGAAGTCAGAATTCTCATTTTTGTTTTTGAGTCTGTTGCTACAACCCCAATCCAAAAAAGTTGGGATGCTGTGTAAAGCCTTCATAAAAACAGAATTTGCTAATCTCTATCCCTTTTTTTTTTTTTTTTTTTTTTTTTTCTTCTTCACAATAGAAAACATATTTTTTTTTTCTTAATGTTACATTTTAGGGCTGCAACTACAGATTATTTTTATAATTAATTGGCTGATTTGTTTTGATTAATTGGATAAACCTCTAATGTGTGGTTTATAATTTAATTAACATCTAAAGTTTAAAAAAAACAAAAATTTTTTTTTTTTCTTTACCATCTATATGCAGTGGTAATATAAATAACCAGCTATATGGTTAGGGAGCAAAATATCTAATCCACTCTGAGAATAACAGACAGACATTTTAGAGGTTGAATCTGAAACATACTATCAGACTCTGAGATCAAAATTTTTTTATTTCTAAAGAACACGGTTTTGCAGATTTTCAGTCAGGATTGTAATGTAATATTATGCATGACAGACTCCTTTATCATAGGCAGATAACTTGTTTACACGCTACCTGCATCTTTGTACACAAATTACCTTTTTGAAAATTTTTGTTTTAATGTCCATTCAATTTTCTAATAATTGGTATGGTCAAATGGACTTTTTTTTTTTTTTTTTTTTTTTTCCCCACAGTGACTGGAGAATACGAAGAAGAGAACTTTTTCTCTATTATTATTATTATTATTATTATTATTTATTTTTAACAGTGTATGTGGTTTTCGTTCAGAAATTACATTAATTTTTAAAACCTGAATGTTAAAAGCAAGTGATTTTTTTTGAACGGCATTCATTATCATCCATTCATCAAATGTACAAAGAATTGTCATATGAATATTCTTGTCCGAAAATCGATAAGTGTTTTGGGTTAAAAAAAAAAAAACTATTCGCCCTTTTATAGTACAACAACAGCAGATAATCATTTAGAAGTGGTTAATATTATATTGTGAAACTAAAAAAAAAAAATATACATACTTGCATAGTATCTCACAGAAGTGAGTACACCCTTTACATTTTTGTAAATATTTTATATCTTTTCATGTGACAACACTGAAGAAATGACACTTTGCTACAATGTAAAGTAGTGAGTGTACAGCTTGTATAACAGTGTAAATTTGCTGTCCCCTCAAAATAAACTCAACACACAGCCATTAATGTCTAAACCGCTGGCAACAAAAGTGAGTACACCTCTTAAGTGTCAATATTTTGTGTGGGCACCATTATTTTCCAGCACTGCCTTAACCCTCTTGGGCATGGAGTTCACCAGAGCTTCACAGTTTGCCACTGGAGTCCTCTTCCACTCCTCCATGACGACATCACGGAGCTGGTGGATGTTAGAGACCTTGTGCTCCTTTTACCTTCTGTTTTGAGGATGCTCCAAAGATGCTCAATAGGGTTTAGGTCTGGAGACGTGCTTGGCCAGTCCATCGCCTTCTTCTTTAGCAAGGCAGTGGTCACCTTGGAGGTGTGTTTAGGGTCATTATCTTGTTTGAATATTCCCCTGTGGCCCAGTCTCCGAAAGGAGGGGATCATGCTATGCTTCAGTATATCACAGTACATGTTGGCATTCATGGTTCCCTCAATGAACTGTAGCTCCCTAGTGCCGGCAGCACCCAGACCATGACACTCCCACCACCATGCTTGACTGTAGGCAAGACACACTTGTCTTTGTACTCCTCACCTTGTTGCCACCACACAAGCTTGACACCATCTGAACCAAATACGTTTATCTTGGTCTCATCAGACCACAGCACATGGTTCCAGTAATCCATGTCCTTAGTCTGCTTGTCTTCAGCAAGGTGGGCTTTCTTGTGCATCATCTTTTAGAAGAGGCTTCCTTCTGGGACGACAGCCATGCAGACCAATTTGATGCGGCGTATGGTCTGAGCACTGACAGGCTGAACCCCCCCCCCCCCCCCCCCCCCCACCCCTTCAAACTCTGCAGCAATGCTGGCAGCACTCATACATCTATCTCCCAAAGACAACCTCTGGATATGATGCTGAGCACGTGTACTCAACTGCTTTGGTTGACCAAGGCAACAATTCCCTTTTTTTTTTTTTTTTTTTTTTTTTTTTCCCCCCCCCCCCCCAGATCCTCGGAGTTCTGTGCCATGTTGAACTTCCAGTGACCAGTATGAGTGAGAGTGATAACACCAAATTTAACACCTGCTCCCCATTCACACCTCAGACCTTGTAACTCTAAGGAGTCACATGATTCTGGGGAGGGAAAATGGCTAACTGGGCCTAATTTGGACTTTTTCACTTAGGGGTGTACTCACTTTGTGTTTCCAGCAGTTTATACATTAATGGCTGTGTGTTGAGTTATTTTGAGGGGACAGCAAATTTACACTGTTATACAAGCTGTACACTCACTACTTTACATTGTAGCAAAGTGTCATTTCTTCAGTGTTTTTTTCACATGAAAAGATATAATAAAATATATACAGTACCTCACAGAAATTAATACACCCCTCACATTTTTGTAAATATCTCCTATATATATATGGTAATGAACATACCCAGATGTAGGCTCTACAGAGTATTTTAACTGGGAGTCCGACATGAAGCTGTGTAAAGGGTAGAGGGGTGAGGATAGTACCTTTTGTAATAACAGTACTAAAGGCTGAGACTTTTTTTTTTTTTTTTTTTTTTTTCTCTAATCATTTATTACACAATACTGGTGAACTTTTATTTTAAAGTGTAAAGGCAAAACTTTTTTTTGTTAGTTTTGGGTAGAATGGAGAGGGATTGAAATGTTTGTCAGGTTTTTATTGCTGTCCTGTGCCCCCATCAAGGAAATTCACCTTCTCAATTTTGTCCTGCTTACCATGATAATTGAAAGTTTAAATAAAAAAAAAAAAAAAAATCCCACATTTTGGGTTGTCCCCAGAAAAGTAAGGGTTTTTTTACCCTCACTTACTATATCCAAAATGAAGAAAAAACGTTTTGCCTATAGTTCCACTCTAAATTTAATTGTAATGCCTTATATCACCTCCAGTCTTTCAGCCTCCAGCTTATCTGGGTTCAATTGCTGACCTTTTCCTGCACAGGGCCCTTACAGTGATTGGTAGAAGAAAAATACACACGTTTACAACAAACATGTTCTGTGTAATGGTTTTGCACAGAACAACCTTGATTCTCCTCTTCTGGGGTTCCCCACCATTGCTACTGGCTCCTCCTGTCTTCAGAGTCCCCCTATAGCAAGGTTAAAAAACTTCTGCCTAATAGAATCGCTTACTGCTCCTGCCCAGGACTACATGTCTCATGAGGCATTGCTCATTACACATTTACAAGTTCCTGTGCACACTGACATGTATGAACAGTGCACTGAGCTTTGTGTACTGCACTTTATATACTGACATGTATGAACGGTGTACTGAGCTGCATGTGTGCTGCACTGTATTTTCTGATATGTAGACAATGCAGACTGTATGCAGGACAACTAATCCTCTGACCAACTAATCGATTATAAAACAAAAAAAAAATAGTTAACTATTTTCACAGTCGATTTATAATTGTTGAATAGTTGGTTCAGCCCTAGTACATTTTCTCAGTTTAAACGTTTGATATGTTTTTTCTATTGTGAATAGAATATGGGTTTATGAACTTTGTTTTTATGTAGATTTTATACAGCATCCCAGCTATTTTGGAATTGGTGTTTATAAAATTACTAAAGCCAATGTGCCAACATAAAAGCAGGACAGCTGTAGACAAGTCGCCAATAGCGGCCTACATATTTTTGTCACGACATGTTCCTTTTTAGCTGCTGACTTTGTGCATCCTTGGGAGTACTTAAACATGTCCTCTTTCCTCACACTAACCAGCCTCTCTGCTTTGTTGTCTGACACTTAAGCATGTGCCTGATGTAACACAATGCATGCTGTGGTTTTACCTGCTGACCCCTATGTTGCTACAGGACACAGTAGGGACATTGTGGTCAGCAGCAGGGGACAAGCTATTCAACATTTCCAAACAGATTGAAATTTGGTCTTCTTACTGACTGGTAAGTATTTCCTCTTTTTTTTGGGATATTTTTGTCTAACCTCCTTTTGCTAGCTGCAGCTTCAGTTTTAAATAAAGATGTTCTAGGAAAGCTTTTAATAGGAGATGGATATAATTGTCTTGCCTGTTTTTTTTTGTTTATAGGACAAAGAAGCCTCCATCATGCAGGAAACAACTTGGAGACCTTAGTTCTGATCAACCCTTCTAAGTCTTCGGTGTGCGGTGAGGTAAGCTGAAGTTTTTTTTTGACTTGGCTTATATAGGTGTAATTGAGTAAATATGTATTCATTCTCTGTAATAGTTTGGCACAAGGAGAGTATAATTAAGCAAAGTAAATTTCAACTAATCACTCTGGCCTTAATGGCTTAAAATCTAATTTTAATTTTATTGGGCATATGCAGTGTACATTGGGGAAGGAAACCCAAAAAATCCAGTGGCTGCTTACAAGTTTGAGGCTATTCAAGACACCCCTATTAACCACAAAGGTTTTGTGTTTCAGATCCGGAAGTTGATTTGCCATTCCTCTCAGCACAAACTGTTGATATTTACTGGTCCTTTCTTTGAAGAAACTGGTGAAATGCTTCTACAAGGTGGAGGAGCTTTCTCTATAGAAGACTTTATTCAGATATTTACAGATAAAGAGGTAGGCTGTTTAAAATGATTAGTATATAATCATTTTAAACAACATGTTTCGGGATGATAAAACATTATGTTTTCAATTTCTTTTAGATTGGAGAAACTCTGAGCTCATCTGATCCCACGTCTCATGTCAGCTTGACTGTTTCCTGTCCTGAAAACTGGGACCTATCACAGTTGGACAAATGTAGCCTCCAAGATTTTATTGAATTGCGGTTTAACAAGGACAAAATGTTTCCTGAGACAGAGGGTCTACAAGAATTAGCAGAGTACCTGTCTGAATCCCTTGAGCCCTCTTCTCCCTTTGAATTGCTGGAATCTCCCACAACTGTGGGCTTTTTGAAGTTATTCAAACCATGCTGCTATGTATTCCCTGGTGGTAGGGGGGACTCTGCTTTTTTTGCTGTCAATGGATTTAACATGTTGGTGAATGGAGGCTCTGATACTAGGTCTCCATTTTGGAAATTAATACGCCATTTAGATAGAGTGGACTCTATTCTTCTCACCCATTTGGGGATCGACAATCTACCAGGCATCAATAGCTTACTGCAGAGGAAGATAGCAGAAGGAGAAGAGGAGAGTTCTCAAGGAGCACAGCCAAGTGATGATTGGCTAAGAAATTTGATCTCTCCAGAGCTAGGTGTTGTCTTTCTGAACTCTCCAGAGAAAACTATTTATGAAGAAGAGCTCAGTACAGTAACAGTTAGGGAAGAGGTTATGCTTACGCTGCGATGTTTGGAGAAGCTTGGTATTCCACCAGAACCTTTGTACCGAAGCAATAATGCAACTGTTGAACCAACTATTCTTTTTCAAAAGATGGGTGTTGGTAGATTAGAAATGTATATCTTGAACCCTGTGAAAGGTAGTAAAGACCTGGAAACTTTCACAAAACAGTGGCCTGGAAATTGAAACATAAAGGGTCAGAGATGCCGCTGACTTCTCAAACCTCAGTCTGCGCTCTGCTTGTGTGGCATCCTTCTGCACCCTCTGAACGAATTGTAAGAGTGTTATTTCCTGGTTGCACACCTCAAAACCAAATTCTTGAAGGTCTGGAGAAGTTGAAACATCTCGATTTTCTAAAAGATCCTGTCATAACACGAAAAGACTTGGAGATTAAGGGAAGCAATTTTTTAAAAGTAAGGGTGTTGCCAAATCTTCTCGGACTGGAAGCAAAGAGAGTCTTGCATCTGGATCAGGAAGACTAAGTGCTGAACTGAAATTTAGACCAGTAAAAGATAAGCCACTGAAGACTTCTAGAAATGAACTGAGGCCAGAAGGGAAAGACAAAAACAAGGTTGCTGTAGAGGCTGGAACAGAAGGAGAAAAAATGAAGGAAGTCAAAGCTAAAAATGAAAATGCATCTGAGAAACAAAGACCAGATTCAAGACTGAAGACCACAAAAGAAAAGCCTATAATGAAAAAAGAACAGCCAAAAGATGAAAAGAAGCAGTTTGGCAAAAAGGATGCTGATTATGCAGAAAAAAAAAGAGACGTTAAAAAGGAGCTGCGACCTGTAGTTGGAGAAGCCAGAGCAGAAACTCCAAGGAGGGTTGCCAAAGACAACAAGGGTGAAGAAGTTAAGGGCACAAAAGTTGCTGTAAAAGACATGAAGAAAGCTACCACAACACCTGCAGATTCGAGGAGACCAATTCCCAAAGTAGGTTCTTTAAAGAAAGAAATGGGCAGCATAAAAAAGGATTTGATAGGTAACCGAATGTTGGTCAAGGGTAAGCCCCCAAGTAAGGAGCCAGTGAAGGAGGTTGGCAGCCAGTCAGCTGAAAAGGCTACTGATTCTGCATGCAGCAGTACTACTGGTGAACAAATGACAAACCATCAAGCAGCAGGTAAAGGTATCAAGGCTGCTGCATGTGCACCTATTAGCACTGGTGGTGGACCTATTAATGGGCATGGTGTACATGCAGAAAATGGACTGTGCACAGCTGAGCCTGAGAGTCCAAATGGATTTCGGTACCTGGAAACAAGTACCCCCAAAGGCTTGGCTCCTGCATCTCCATTGGCTAAAACGCCCAAAAGCGATGTTAGTGTGAATTTTGACCTGACTCCCACAAACTTGGAGGTCCAAGAGAGAGGCAGAAGTGTACACCATGCCCAGGATTGGCTGGATGATCCTTGTGGAAGCTCTGAAGAAAGGACTTTGGAGATGGCATCCCCAGTCAGCTCAGAGCATCATTCACCAGCAGTATCACAGCAAATTTGTGGTCAGTCGCTACCATCAGTAGATGGAAGAAATATTAACTCATCCTCCTCCTGGAGAGCCCCTCCAAGATCGTCCCAAGAGAACTCAAATTCTTCACAGGGAAGGCAGACCAGTTGCCTCTCCTTGAGCCCTTTCCGGGAAGATCTACCTGATGTCTCTCCAACTATAACTACTCCTTCACTGCCTGCAGAAGTGGGGTCACCACATTCTACAGAAGTGGATGAATCTCTTTCTATTTCTTCCTTTGAGCAGACCCTTCCTCCTGTTAGTGAGTCTCCTAGAGATGTATCACCAGACACCCATATGCCAAACAGAGTAGGTCTGAGTCTGCCTGTTCGTCCTTCACATTCTAGTGAGCTTGAAGGCCAGTCTGAAAGGTCAGCCTCTCCTCATGATGTGGACCTCTGTTTGGTATCACCATGTGAGTTTGAGCATCATAAGTCTGATGCTGTAATAAGCCCACATGATAGTGACAGCGATCCTTCCCAGGAGTTGCCCAAGCCCCCAGGCTTTTCTGGGAAAAAAATTCCAAATGGACCAGAGACCCCACCTACTTCAGTAAGTGAATCTTTGCCCACAATATCAGATTCTGGACCAGAAGAATGCCCTTCCATAGCTGTTGATGGTGCTTCAGATTCAGAGGGTGATAACACTCCAAGACTTTTAGATCCTGCTCCACCTACCATAAAGGATCCTCATCCCCTTCCTCCTCAACCAGGCACTTGCATGGTTGACCCTGAAGCTATGCCAATAGATCATGGAGATAAAAAAACTCAAAACCAGTCATCTCCTTCCAATGTTCGAAGTAACCCTAGTAAGTTGCCTGGCAAAACTAAAGGTGTTGGGGATAAATCTGGCAAGGTTGCCACAGGAAAAATCGGACATGACACGTGCTGGAGCAGACACCAAGCCATCTATAGCCAGGCGCAGTATAGGAAATTCAATGAAGGCCACCCCTACAGGAAGTTCCTTCTCAACAGGTGAGTAATTTGTGTGGTCATTGTCTTTGATAATACAATTCTGTCCTATGGTGATAGGTCTCACTATCTATGGAGGAGCAGTGTTGCCAAACTAAAGCAAAAAAGGTTAGGGCTACAAAAACATACCCCCACCCACCTCATTTCCATAACGTGGGGAGATATTTTGTAGTCCACAGAGAACTATGAACAATACTAACTGGTAACAGTCACTAACAAAACCACTGATATTGAACAGGTTTAATGTGTTTCTTTACAGCAGCCCATTCACATTGAAAGCCATGTGTAATGTGGTCAGTGCCAGGTACATTGCTAGGTATTAGGGCATTTGCACATAGTTTAAATTCCATGAAATGTTAAAATGCCCATTATTGCAGTACATAATTATGGGCCCTATCAAGAGACAAATTGTTAGAATTGTCTTAATGCAAGTGCAGACAGGGAATTGGGACTAAATCACATCAATATACACAAAAACCCAATATAACCGAACTCTCTTCTTGAGAGGGGAAGTGAACCTGCACAGGCTGGTTGGCAGTGACTGCTCCCACATTTTGTTCTTGCAGGTTCATTTTAACGTGGTTTGTGCGTGGTGTGTTTTTTTTTTCTTTGTTAGGCATACACCGAGACAATAATTTTTATTGGTGAGTACAAGTACCATACTTTCAGTCAAGTACTGGCCAATACTTTGCGTTTATGGACGCAAATTGCGCCGCAAAGATTAGCATGCAATTTGAACAGGAATACGCTTACTGTCCAAATCACACATTTTCTACACTGCTCCTGTGTGAACACAGGCATGACATAGCCCAAGTTCACATAGGGGTGGTGCAGGAAAGCTTCCTGCAGGCATTCCACGCTGAGACTCTGTAGTAGGAGAGGAAGCGGTGGGGATTTGAAATTTGTTGATCCATGACCCAAAACAGAGTGCCACCCAACTCTCCTGTGTCTGGGTGCCCCTCCCTGCAGCTACTAGCTGGCTTTATCCGGGGTAGACGTGTCTAAATCTCCCTTGCTTCTGAAGCATGACGGCATCACCACCCTGTCCACTGCCTATTGCAACTTGAGGGGGGGGGGGGGTGTTTTGACAGGCGGCAAAAAACACAGCTCAACTGCATATTTCGCTGCCCCCAATTGCAAGTCTAAACAAGGTCAAAGGCTTCATGCACGCAGGGCATATTACAGTGAGGCCATGTTTTAGCTGCAGAGGGATCCACGGGTGTTCCGTGCATCCCCATGCAGGCTGTCCCATTGATGTCAATTGGGATGCAGCAGTTGTAAAAAAAAAAAATTTAAAATTAGATTATATATATATATATATATATATATATAATATATATATATATATATATATATTATATTTATATTTATATATATATATATATATTTTTTTTTTTTTTTTTTTGATGGGAACATATGGTCAGTAATTTACGCCGCCTGCGTACAAATATGCGCAAATGCACATAAATCTTAATGCATTTTCCCTAAGAATATATTGTGGGCGCATATCCATATTGTAAAGCTTCTCAATTCTTAGATGTGATGGCCGCATTAGTTTATTTTTTAGGCCAGGGAAAAGGAGAAGAAGGCTCCGCAATATTTACACATTATATTTAATTTCTGACAACAGGTAGGTGTACAGCTATCAAATTGCCAAGGGCTCAAAACCTAATATATCAACTAGTAATCACGATGATTGTAAATTGTTCCAACATATGAGATGGAGTGAGTAAGATTAAAGATGTGGAAGCAAATAGAAGTTCAAAAGCGAAGATGTAACTTGGAAAAGTTGGTTATATGTAAGGACAACATATATTCGGTTCAAGCTACATTTTGTGTATGATAAACTTACTTGTATGGCTAGATAATGAGCTTACTTGTGTGAATTGTCAAACCATTGGCCAAAAAAAAAAAAATCTGTCTTTTTGGCCATACAACCTTTGTCCAGCACTTTTTTTTTTTTTTTTTTTTTTTTTCCCTGGCGAGATTTCAAGCTCTTTTCTAAACGTGTGGTCAAACAAGAATCTTCAGTATCCAGATTCAACAAGCTGGACAGGTTTGTTGCTGGGACCAGGGATACACTGGGAGATTTCAGTGCACGCTTTGGTGATATGAGATTAGTGTTACCTGATCTACACCTATTCATATCTCCCAGATCTCCTTCGTCTGCTATGCAGAGTTGAGAAGGTGGTATTTCCGGTGGTTCTCACTGTACCAAATTCTTCCAGGAGGAACACTTGCATGTTCAGACTTCTTGCATACACAGTTTCCCACATCCTCAGGACTATGGCTTCAACAGCCAAGCAACCAAAAAGCAGGATGGGGCACTGGACCTTGGGACAAAGAGATGGGGGGCCTGTGTGACTCGGCCATCCCTATCTATCTGAAGCCTAAGAAATTGACTCTTCACAAAGTCTTCCATCACACATCTGGAGTCTCTTTTGCTCGGTGGAAGGAAATTTCACCCCAGGAAATACTCTGTGGAATATATCCTGTGCTTTCTCCATTCGGGTCTCACTCAGCATCTGGTTTTGAGTACCATCAAAATGCAATTCTCGGCCTTGGCTGTGTGTGTGTTGTGTTTTTTTTTTTTTTTGTTTTTTTTTTTGTTTTTTTTTTTTTGTTTTTTCCTGGCAGTACTTGAGTCATTGGTTTAAATGCCAGCTATGGCACTACCTACCTGGAGTTTGCACGATTTGCCTTTTTGTGGGTTTCATTCTGGTACTCAAGTTTCCTTCCACACTCCACACCTAGTCTTTGGCCGTAGTATGTGGTGTATGTATGAAATGTGCATTAGGGACCTTAGATTGTAAGCTCATTGAGGGTAAGGACAGGGACTGATGTTAAAAAAAATAAATAATTAAAATACTCTTGAGTTTGTTAGCTGCAGGCTAGATACTGTGCCTCCTTGGAACAGAAAAGATTTGTCAAAAGACCTGCGTAACAAGATAATGGAACTTTATGAAGATGGGAAGAGGATATAAATAGATATCCAAAGCCTTTGAATATGCCAGTCAGTGCTGTTCAATCACTTAAGAGGTGGAAAATTTGGGGATCTCTTAATGCCAAGGTCAGGTAGACACGATCTGCAGCCACAACTGCCAGAAGAGTTGTTCGGGATACAAAGAAAAAGCCACAGGTAAACTCAAGGGTAATACAGGCTGCTCTGGAAAAAGAATGGGGTTGTTTTTAAAGGACAATATTATGATACTTGAACAAACATGAGCTGCATGGTCAAGTTGCCAAAAAAGAATCCTCTTACTGCCTCAATGCCAGGAAAAAGCTTGGTGAGGCATGTCAAGGTGTTATTGGGCATATTGTAGCAGGACTTTTTTTTTTTTTTTGCCATGCTCAGTCAGTTTCGATGGAGACTGTCGGTGGACAGTCGTTTTCAGGTCTCTCCAGAGATGTTCAAAAGAGTTCCAGTTGGGGATCTGGGGCTGGGCTGTTCTAGAACATTCACTGAGTTGTCCCTGAGCCACTGCTGTGTTCTTGGCTGTGTTCCTAATGTAGTTGTCATGTTGATAAGGTCCTGGGCACTGTGGAACAGGTTTCATTGAGGATATCTCTGTACAATGCTCCATTCAGCTTTCCCTCAACCCTGACCAGTCTCCCAGTCCTTACTGCTGAAAAACACCCCCACAGCATGATGCTGCCACCATCATGCTTCACTGTTTGGATGGTATTAGGTAGGTGATGAGCAGTACCTGGTTTCCTCCAGACATAATATTTTAGAATTGAAACCACACGGTTCAATTATGGTTTCATCAGACCAGAGAATCTTATTTCTCACAGTCTAAGAGTTCAGGTACTTTTTTTTTTTTTTTTTTTTTTTTTTTTTTTTTTTTTTTTGCGAATTCTGAGCAGGCTTTCATGTGTTTTGCTCTGAAAAGAGGCGATCTAGCCACTCTTCCTTAAAACCCAGATTGGTGGAGGACTATAGTGATGGATGTCCTTCTGGAACTTTCTCCCATCTCCACACAAGATCTCTGGCGCTCTGTCAAAGTGACCATTTGGGTTCTTGGTCACCTCTTACTAAAGCCTATCTCCCGATTGCTCAGTTTGGCTGGGCAACCAGCTCTTGAAGGAGTCCTGGTCGTGCCAAACATATTCCATTTGAGAATTATGGAGGCCACTGTGTTCTTGGGTACCTTCAGTGCAGCAGAAAATGTGTTGTGTGTGTTTTTTTTTTTTTTTTTTTTTTTTGTAGCCCTCCCTAGATCTGTGCCTTGCAATAATCCTGTCTGAGCTCTGCAGGCAGTTCCTTTTTGACCTCATGTCTTTTTTTGCCGTGATGCAGTATGCATTGTCAGCAGTGAGGCCTTTTATAGAGAGGTGTGTGCCTTTTTACAAATCATTCCAATCAATTTTAATTTATCACAGATGGACTCCAATCAAGTGTAGAAACCTCTCAGCAACAATCGGGAAACGGGAGGTACCTATGCTAAATTTCCAGTATTGTTGCAAAGGGTCTGAATACTTGTGCCAATGTGATTTCAGTTTTTAATTTTTCATACATTCAGACATTTCTAAAATTCTGTTTTTAGGTTTGTCCTTATGGGGTATTGAGTGTATATTGATGAGGGGGGAAAAAAAAGAATTTCTACATTTGTGTAGAATTGGGCTGCAACATAACAAAGTGAAGTGGGTGTACTTGCATTAAAACAACTATTGAACATATCACCATTTTTTTTTCTAGGTAAATATATTTCTAAAGGTGCTATTGACATATATTTTACCACGTCAGTAACCACCCATGCAATCTATACATACGAAGAAACCAAAACAAGTTCAGAAATTAAGTTTATGTATAATAAAATGGAATGACTCGGAAAAAGTATTGAACACAACAAAGGGAGGTACAAAAAGCCATGGAAAGCAAAGACACCAGCTGAAATCTATTAGTAATTAGAAAGCAATCCTGCCCCTTGTCATTGCAAATTAATATCAGCTGGTTTAGTCTCAACTGGTAGCCTGTAAAAAGGGGTCTCATTACCAAGGTG